GGGGGGGAGTGGTAGGAGATTTAGTCAATTGCTTTTTAACTGACTAAAGAATAAAAAAAATAAATATTATTTGACAATCACATCACACTAAGTAAAAATCAAACCACATTTCTACAGTGATTCATGCCAATTATTTCTCAATAAAACTGGAAAATATGTGGGTTAGTTTGGGTTTGCCATTAACCTCAGCTTCTACTCAATGCTCATAGGGGTAGAGCAATAACTTATATCATGTATGTGTCTGTCTGGTCCATGAGAGTCAGTGAAATCATTTAGATGCATATATTCCAAAAAGTCTTCATGAGATAAACTTGCTAAAGGATTAAGGAAACTAATGTATTTGAAGAAATTAGAACATGGAACTAGAAAAAAAATAGCAGATACCTAGGCCTAAGCCTACAGAGAATACCTAGAAACTGATGGAAGAACAAACAGGATTACTCAAGTGCTCTGAAGATTAGCAGTCAAAGTTTAGGTGACATTGATTAGGTTTACACGTGCCAACTTCCAAAGCAATGTGAAACAGTCTATTATTTTCAGTTTCTGGCCTTGTATTTTAAATATTGAACATAGTCAATTTGCTATCATCACATCAATTTCATATATATCCTCAAACCTACATTTTAATACATTCAAGTGAATAAAAATTTTCCCCAGTTTTATAATGGATATTGGAATCTACATTCAAAAAACAAAGCCCTATTTTACATATGAGCTCATGAACCATAGCTCTTCCATAGATAAACAATTCTAAATAGGTCTTAAGTTAAAAAAAAAAAATCTACTAACAGTAACACATTCTAGTAAATTGGGTCATTTTTTTTTTTTTTATCAGTATCAGGTCCAACACTGACTCTTTTTAGAAATTTGGCTTTATACACTCCTTATCAAGATTGTTCTCAGTGTTCATTTACTGTTAACCTCTTCGAACTATTTTAACCCAATTTGTATTTTTTAACAACTGTTTTTCTTGTTCTTCATATCACACTGTAACTGGAAAATAGCTCACTCATTTCTTATTTCTGAATTACAATTTTTCTCTATTAGGAAACCAAGTAGAATCACTTAAAGTTCCTCTCCTTTGTATTGTTTTGTCATTATAAGCTCAGAAATGTTTCCTGACAATGGCTCCCTTTTGAATTTCCCATTACTTGGTCAAATGATTTAACACTGGGTAATCAATTTCCTTATTAGTCATAAAAAGATAAGTCGGCTCATAGTGTAGAGTTGTTCTTTTGAATATCAGAGGCATGTTCTCTAGATTATTTTTACATAATAGAAATCATTTGAAATATTAAGATTATAGAGTGAAAACCCGTACTTGTCTCGAAAGTATCTTTTAAAATATAATTGTATTCAGACAATAGAATTAATTGTAATTACATCCTTTAACTCTTCTGATTACATTATGTTTATGTGAGGAGTGGGATTCAATAAAGTCTAGTACCATTATCAGATATTAGTGGGATACATCAACTTCCATGGAGAATATTTTCAGTGCCATTTACATAAAATTAGGTAAGACAATAACAATGATTAAGTGTTCTTTGGTAATTTCTCATCCTAGCTTCTTCAGTTGAACCTTCTTTTTCCTTAGTTAAGTCCACTGTTATTTTTCCCATAATGTCATGTACCTATACAATGGACTGAATTAACAGACCACCACCATTTCAATGGCCTATATATCCATGAGTTTATACCCCAAACCTCTGAAGGATATGTAGGGTATGAAAAGAACTTGGAGGTGATTTAAGAATCTTGACATGGGGAGATTTCAGGTGGACACATGTCCAAATAAGAGGAAGGCCGAAAGAGATTTGACTTTAATAGAGGAAAGGAAGGTGATCACAGAAAAGACTGGAGTAAGGAAACGAGGAGTCAGCCTGTAGAAGTGGAGGAAGCAATGATCAAATTCTCCCCTGGAGCATACAAAAGAAACCGTCCTACAGACATACTGACTTTAGCCCCTAAGACTGATTTTGGACCTCTGAATTCTATGAATAGAATAGATTTTTGTTGTTTTACACTACTAAAATATTGTCATTCTTTACAGCAATCTGCTACAATTAAAAAAAAAGAGATTTAAAAGACTTCCATACTTCTTTGGAAAAATATGCTCTGTACTATCAGTTTTGATTTTTAAATTTTTTATAGAGATAACTTAAATATTACTTTCCTTTGTTATTTGGGTGGCAATAATTTGTTTTGTAGTTACTCTGGATATTAACATGTCATTTTCAATGACATTGTTGGATATATTTCCTTGAGTTCCTTTTACCAAGTTGAAGGGAAACACTGTATAATTAATTTCTATATTTGAGTAGCCAATCCAATTAGAAATCCAAAACACAAGCATCTTGCAGAAATCAGCTGCCAGATTTATTAATCTATCTGAAAATAAAAACACGACAAACAAAAAATAGAATAAAAACAGAACTTAAAAAAATGTTTAGATACATTTCCCAAAAGTTTATAATGCAATGTTTTGAACCTTTCTGTACTGAAAATATCTCAAATGTTGACCAAGTACTTAATTCGTTCAGTGAGTCAGTACCTTAAACAGTAATACATATATATATATATATATATATACACACACACACACCGATATCTATATGTATATATATATATAGATATATATACACACATATATGACAAACTGTATATATCTAGTTTGTCCTTAAATATGATATAATTAATACCACTCCTTCTTTTGATCCCTTAAGATAACTCATGGCCTAATTCTTCCCCACTGGAAAACTAGAACTAGACATTTAAAAAGAAAATGGAAAAAAAAAAAAAGAAAAAAATAGAATTCTCAATACAATTTTCGTTTCAATATATTTTAAAGACCCACTTTAAATTTCTTGAGCTATGTCAATTCTCTTTCTAATAGGACTTTAGTTGAATATTTTAAAATCTGTTTTTATTCTAAGTGCTGTAAATTGTCACATGAACACAGTGGGGAATAAACTTCCAATTTTAAGGCATACTTTTAGCCTATAATAGGCCTAATGATATATGAGTATGTAGAATAATCCACTGAAATCACAGTTATACACATGTTGAAATTAGAGTATTTTTCTGGGATTTATGTGAATGGTATTGATTACAATGTAGGTTTGCCAATAACTGTTTATAGAAATGAGTAATGATATGTCCTGTTGGAAAATGGGTAGCTGGGAGATTATCTTCTACAATCTTTCCTGTGCTCCTCATAAAATCCTTTTATAGATTGATTAGATTTTATCTTTCTGTTCAGTTTGCTTTTACCATTTTGTCCTACAGACCCTTACAAAATGTTATTGCTCTGGGATATTGATTGACTGAACAAAATTCACATTTCTTGCTGGAATCATTCAGCAAACTATTCAGAGATTCTATAACACCATTTACTTAAGTTTTTTTTCCAGGTGGCTAGAACCAACATATTCTGCTTTCAATATTTTCTCCAAGTGCAAAACAAAACCAAACAAAACCTTGAAACTTTAAATTTTTAAATCTTCTTTCAAACAATCCAATCACATTTACACGAGTGTCCAAAACAAGATGATGGATAATATCAGTGCCAGCACTATGTCATACAGCAACTTCCTCATCTTCTTTGACAGTATGCAATTTTCCATTTTGCCAAAAGTTACAAAAGTTTCCACAGTTTCCCTTAGCAAGCTGAAGCTTACTCTTCATTTGTCAGTGTGCATAAAAGCTGCTTATAGCATAGCATGGCGTAAGCTATTTTTTAAGCAATAAATGGTTCAAGTCATCTATTTTGTCCTGAAATGCTATCTGTAGTTAATTGCGTTGCTTATAAATGGTCATAGTAAATTCAGCATGAAAGAGAATATTACAGAAAAGACAGCAGCAGAAGCATTAGCATTATCTAATATTTATATATGTTATCAACATAACACAGCAGTAAAAGGTTTAAATGCATATCAGTGGGTACCATGTCTAAAAATTACTATAGTACCTATTTAGTGTATTGGATATTTTTCTTAAGGAGTGCTTGCTGTATCTAGAACAGCGTGGTAATGATTTAGTACAGTTAATTCTTATTGATTAAATAACGGGTTCATGTATTGTAGGAAGTGAAAGGAGACAGATATTTTTTGCTTCATTGTGACCCCAGATTTAACATTTAAACAAAAATCTCCAAGGATCATGATCATATATCATATGATCAAGGATCATATCAATATTAAACGGAATTGGGCTTCAAAATTTTAAGACAGTATGATTTGTACCTAAAGAGCAAGGTGGCACCAGATACATGTAATGCTACTGGCCTATGACTCAGTTTGGAGCCAGAGTCCAAAATTGTGCCCTTCATCTATACTCATGCTGATTACTCAACTTCAGCAAAAACTACCCATTTTATGGTTATGTTCTGTGAGTCATTTATAAAGCAAACCAAAACAAAAACAGCAAATGCAGCCTCTAAATACCTTTTTACATGAGGTGCAAAACAGTCATTTCTAACAATTAAACTGCCATTTACAGTAGATGTTTTTGTACACCTTGCAGAGAATCAAAAAATGATAGGGGAAAATGCCCGCGGCTAATAGTCTCCAAGTGGATATTTACACAATGTGAATTAACTGTACCATACATATCCAGAGAAAATGAGCATTTTCTTATGTTAGGAAATCAAATAAACATGATATAGCTTCATCATACTTAAAACCTTTAGGATCCCATCCCAAGTCTAAGTAAAAATTAATCCCCAAGTTCCCCCGCCCCCGCCCCCGTTCGCCCATTATCTTCCTGTTATACAGAATAATGTTTCGATTATTCCCACCCACCCTCAAATAAAGTGCGCAGTCCATGGCAGACCATAGAATAATGCAACAGGAAAAGCCCCTTTTTGTGTATTATTATTTAAAAATAAAATACAAACAACAAAAATAAAACAGAGATTGGAGAGAATTCAGATTCTCTGCCTCTTGCAAAAAAGAGGGAAAGCGCGGGGAAGGTCCTGCTCGACTGTCACCGTGCTAGTACACGTAGCCTTCGTTGTAGGGGTGGGGGTTGCAGCAGCCCCCTTCTGGCATGTAGGCCATGCTCTCGTCAAAGTGAGACAGAGGCACCGTGTCCTCTTCATTGATGTGACGCTCCATGTCCGTCTTCAGCAGTGGCCGCTGATTATCTGGAAAGGCCATGGAGAAAAGGGCTTCCGGGTCACACACAAATTTGTAGACATATCTCTCTCCGGCCACCTGATGATCATATGGAAGAGAAAAACCCATCCAGCCATCCCCAGATGGGGAAGGACAGGGAAAGAAAAAAGACCAAAAACATGATTTAATACACCAGAAAAAGCTAGAAAATAGGACAAGACAATTAAGTATTAGCAAACAGGCATAAACACAAATGCACACACCTTACTTTGCGGAATAAATTACAGTTCAATAAAGGAAATGCAAAATGTTGATGTTGCACACTAATTACATTATAGTTATTCCAGATGCAGTTAAGAAATCTCAGAAGCTTTCTTGTTAGAATATAAAGGTAAGCTTACAATGTCATCTACGGGAAAGAAATCATCGATTTATTGCAGGCATGTTACATTTTTGTCTGTTTTAAAAGATAATATCTATACTTGTAAAAGCAGATCCTTTAAGATATAGTATCTTCCTCTTAATAGTATAGTACATTTCTAAAACTGTTGTAAAAATAAACTTCCAAACCTTAAAAGAAAAATGTGCTTTGCTTCTAATAAGCCTACACTAGTGATTCACTGATTCACAGTGTGAGCCATTTTTTTGTTTTGTTTTGTTTTGTTTTTGGCATTATATATTCTCATCTTAAGGGAAAAAAAGATACATTGCCTTATTTAAATGAAAGATGGATCGAGAGGACAGCATTATCCTGTGTACATCACTTTTCAAAATGAAGGCAAAATGCATTAGGCAGAAGTTAAGGATGTGTGTAAAGTGTCAAATTGAAGTAAGAGGTGTAAAAAAGTGAAAGGAATTTAGTATACACAGTGCATAGGGAGGAAATGAGAAAGAGCAATGTTGACAGCTGCCTGAAATGAAGAAGTAGCATAATCTATAAGGAATGCCATGACCTGAACTTAAATTTTGAAGAGAAATGCTTCTCTAGGAAATTATAAACATTGAAGGAAACAAATATGTCCCTCTCCCCTCCAGCATCACTGAAAAGACTGTACAGAGGAGGAGGGCTGTGGATGAATACAATTCTTTGTATTAACTTTGACAGAAACTTCCTCTATGTGTGTAGAGTTTAATAAGCTTAGAAAGGTGAAAACAACTCAACACTTTGATTTCCTGTGTGTCAAAAAAGCACTACTGGTCGTGTGGTAATGTAGGCGAACAGTGTGTTCATGGTTTCTCAACTATTGATATATGTTTGAAAAAAGGAGTAACTACTAGTGAGCACTCAGATTTAGAATATTTGTGCCCTGGGTTTTTGTTTTTCCACCCTGAAGGAGAAACAAATTTAGAAAACTCCAAATAATCTCAGTATTCTTAGATTTTAAAACAGTCAACAAGGAGTTTTTATGAATGTGGATATATTCCCGAAACTGCCCTCACATCCCCTTTGTGAAAGGAAACAGCAATGTTCCTGGGAAAGTTGCTGTAACGCTGCTATGGAAGTCTCCAGCACAGTGTGTGGCATCAGCAGCACCTACCATAAATGTATTCACTGTAGCCCTTTATACAAAGGAAATTATATTCATAAAGATGGAATGATAAAAGGACCACAAAAATATACACAATAACAAAAATACTAAATACTAGTTTTCCTTTTTTCCTCTTATGGTTAAAGCATTTGTAGGGAGAAAAATGGCCTACATACCTCTGAGCATTTTATAACTTGTTTTGTTTTGTTTTGTTTGGGGCTGTGGAGAAAGGGGTATTTGATTTAAGCTAGAAGAGCTTTTTGTTCAACCTGTTGTTATTGGTTATAATTAGAAATTAACTGATAAATCACTACGGGGTATATTAAAATGTACAACATGCTATCAAGAGTATAAAATCTCGTAGGCATTCTGCCTTGACTCATTACTTCCTTCTACTGTTCTTTTGAACAAACATTCGTAGGGTTACTACTATATTTACTGGACTAGGTTAAATGTCAGAGTTTTGAGCAAGGGCTGATAACCAGCCAAGGGAAATAAAGTCTTCCATTGTCAGAAATATAATCATAATATGAAAAAAATGCTTTACATTATCTATACCCAAATTACAGATGATAAAACATGAAATTTATGGGAGAGACAAATCAAAATTAAACAGGGCCGCATCTTTTGAATTGTGCTTTACAAGATTAGATATTCAAATATGTTCTAACCATTAAAGTGTCCAAAATAGTACAGGGATAATGTGAAGGAAATTTTAAGATTACAGATCAAACAAACAAAACAATTTAGCATTATATCATCCAGAAATAACACTATTAAAGTATAGGCATATACTTTTTAAGGACTTTATAAATTTGAAATAGAAGTATACATGCATAGTTTATAAGTTATAACAAGCACTACTTAACTATTTATTTCTTTCATAATCACTAAAATGACTAATCTTTATGCGTTTAGATCCACTTGGCAATTTTTTTCAATTTTCTATTATCCACATCACAGAAACACATAATTTCAAGTTTGTAAACAAGTGCGTCATAAAAATATCTTCCCCAACACATTAAAATATAGAATTCTATACTGTATTTGTTTTAAAGGATTGAGTAATATTCCTCTGAACAACACAATAAGGCTTAATTTTAGCTTAAAATGGTACATGTGGCCCTCCCTGGTGGCTCAGCGGGTTAAAATACAGCACTGAGAAGCTGAGGCCACTTCCTCATGAGTTCGATCCCCGCCTGCCCCGGAGGGGACCACATGGCGTGGCAGACCTCTCCTGGCCCGCCCGCTGCTCCCCTAGCAGTGTACTTTGATCATCTGCCTGTTCTGCTCCCCACTCTGTCTCTGGTGAATCCTCTCACCCTCTGCATCTCTGGCCTGTACCCCAGTTCTTTACAAATAAATAAATAAATTAAAAAAGAAAAAATGGTACATGTTATAAAATGTTGATGATAGAAGCAATACTTTCTTTCTAGAAAGAGGGAACAGTAGGAATAAAACAATGAGGTGTGCCAAATGACAGGTGTGTCAAAGAACATCAAGTAGAATGGCTCAAATGTGTGAGGAAAAGGAGTGTGAGGAAAAGGAGTAAGTTTATATGGCTATAAACATTACAAAACACTTTTGACAGTTGTGCTAGTTGCAAGCAGACTGTAATCTCTGCATGTTATAGCATTAAACCAAATTTCCTTTCTTACATTATAGTAAAACCCCAAAATGCTACATTTATTTATAGCATTTTGTGTTTATATTTATTTATAGCATTTTGTGATCCTTTGGCAATTATAGTCTAATAGAAAAAATTGTGAGGCACATTTTTGTTGTTGTTGTTATTTTAACATCTATGCTATTATTTAGTAGTACTTCATTTTATTAATTTGTCAAAATAAGAGACTAACAAAGGGGGTATGGTCAACTTAGATAAATGGAGTTCTGAAGTGGTGATAATAGAAATAAGAAACATTAAGCATAAGCACCTCTGAGAATATCTAAGACTAGGCCTGGCATCCTGGAGACACCCTATCAAACACGTGTCTGAAAGCTGTGGTGTGATTAGAGCTCTTAAAATAAGTTTTTACTCTTTGTGAATGTTCTCTTTAACAAGGGACTCAATGATCAAAACATATCAGTCAAATATGCCTTCACAGACTTCAGGGCATGAGATGAATTAAGCATGCCTTTTCATGTGCCAGGTACAATGCAAGAGTCTCCACTAAACTATTTCAAATAATAACACAACTTTATGAGGTAAGAACATCATCTTTTACCAGAAGAATGTGTTCAAAAAGAGGCGCCAGTGAGAAATAAGCAAGAAACCTAAATTCTGACTGCATTTTCTTTTATTGCCCAGGGAAATGGGCAGTGCTCCCAGTGCCAGCCCACTTGTTTTTCTGGAATTAGGGAGATGGTGATGAAGGCATTGGGATGAATTTGAAAAGATTCCATTAAAATGGGAGTGGTGGATGAGAGAAATGGAGAAATTAAAATGATCCCACGTGTGACAGGAAAGGCAGGTGATAAATGACTAACAATTGGGAATATAATTCAACCCTAACTTTTAAAAATCTTGGACATTCTAATAGGGAAACTGAACAAAAGGTCAGGGAAAAGGCAAAGCTTGCAGATAAACTATTGGTCTGAGGCATTCAGCAGGGGAGGGGGAGGCAGAAGAGGAGGGGTGGTGTGGTGGTCGGAGCACTATACCTGAGGTGGGAAATGGTATAAAAAATGAACAGTGATGTAAGAAAATTAAAAAGAAAAACAACAACAAATAATCCCTCTGAAAATAGTAAAAATTAAAGATCTCAAACATTCTAACTTTAGTTTTTCTTCTGCTTATTTTTTTTCTAAGTTGTATCTAAATTCTGAACTGACCAAATCCAAAGCACTAATTCCTTTTACTCTAGGAAGTTATTCCTGTTAAAAGTAAGGTTTTAAAAAAAAAAAAAGTAAGGTTTACACCACAACTGATCCATTACTTCTTGGTATCACTGTGCTGACATAAAAATATGCCGAAATCTGTAATATATCTGTTCATGTACTTCCAAATGAACAAAGACTGCATAATATAATTAATTTTCACAATGGATAAATCATAAACTTATTTCAGGGTTAGGACAATTAATTGAATATGCAAACAAAACTGAAGGACATAATAACAAATATCCAAATGGTTTATCTTTATGTCATTGTCTTGCTCAAAGTATTTACAATTGTACTAAATAAATTTGCTTTACCTCATTCTTTTTTCAAAATCTACTGGTAACTATTAAAGGAAACTCAGTTGAAGTAAAGTAAAATATGGTTTAACTTCACTCTACCAACAAAATAAAATCAAGTATTTATTTCATAAATGTTTTTAAGTTGTGCTATCAGGTAATATATCATCAGGTAAGATTTCAGGTGAGGAATAAAAATGTCTTTAAGAATGAGAAAAAGAAATATTCTGAATGTTCTAACTCTAAAGAAATAACTAAGAATTCAGTTAATATTACAGCCTATCAGTAAAAGCACATCAAAATTATTTAACTGTGGAGAATGCAGCAGAGTATCAACTTCTAGAGATACATATGTGCATTATCAGTACTAAAACAAACTTTCTGACAAACACAGCAAAGTAGGGACTTCCAGAAAGTCTACCACTTTGTGTATAATATTATACATTTGTCGATAATGCCCATGAATGTATAAATAGAAAGGCTTCTCATACCAAAACCAAGAGCTAAGCATATGTTAAACTGAGCGAAAACCTTGCTTCAGCAATGCAAAGATATATGGCTTTTAACGTATGACGTTCAGATTAATGTGCAACATTTCAATGAATTTTAATGCTGTATTAGCGTCTCACCTTTTGCATGATTCCCTTCTCATAATAATAGCGCAGTGAACGGCTAAGTTTATCATAGTTCATAGCTGGCCTGTTTTTCTGAATGCCCCAACGCCGGGCCACCTGCCATAGAAACAGAATTATGTTACAGTGTTAAGTGTTAACTTATCCAGATATTTCATAAAAATTAATCAATTAATTACTTCCAAACTCTCCCAAGAAATCCAAATCAAAGACACGAGGCAAAAGCTGTCATGATCTGAATTTCCTGAGTCCTGGTTTGCTTTTTAAACCAGGCATGCAGTGATCCTTCTGAAGCATCACAATAGAATTCTTTGTCACTATTGTTTTGGATACAAAATTAAATGGAAATAAGGGACTGTGTTTACAGTGAGAAAGAACAGGCTGTAGTTCACCAAAATGAGGCAAGTTTCCCATTTTGAGACACAATGTTATTTTCTTTTAGTTTTTCAGATAGGAGCCATAGATCAAGAACAGCTCAGTGAGTGAGCTCTGTCTAAAGGTGCTTTCTGAGATTATGATAAAGGAAAGAGAAAGAAATCTCACTTGATACTAAATAAGAGTGAACACAGTGGCACAGTGTGTGCAGCAGAGGAAATGGTATACAAATTAAACAACTGAACTGCAAATAATTTTTATTGCCTGAAGCAGCATTAGGGTAAAAGTGTAGCCGATACTAAACTGGGGAATTAAGCATTCATTTAGAGAACAGTAATTGGATGCTAAAAATAAGAAGGAAGTGGAAAAGGTCACCATGTATATGAGTCCACAAACAAAATTCTCTGAAGTAGAATGTCCACTTTGTTGTTCTATGAAAATCTCAGGGCTTTTTATAACATGACTTTGGAGGAAGAACTTTTCTGGTAAAGAGTTCTTCAACAGAACCTCAAGAAAACTGCCTTCCTCAAAGTATATGTATCCCGCGCGTCGTGACCACTGTGGCTCGCTGAAACATTTTACTGTGCTCTTGTCATCCTCGCAAAAGTCCCTTTCTCCTTCATTTCCACTCTTTATTACTTCACAGAAACTGCAGATGCCACATATACCCATGCAACCCCAAGAAAGCATTATCTAATAAGGTTAATGCTTTTTATTTCTATGAAATTCTAAATTGTTGCTCCGTCACATTACAAAAATAGAATCCTTTTCCAAGAGATCATCTGTCTCTCTACGTTGTTAGCAACAACCTTTCTGCTGTTTATTTTTTATAAATACGAATTCTCGCTATTTTCTCTCCCACTAATTTCTATCCCCTGATGTAAGATACAGTATAATTTAGTCACATGCATCAGAATCCTTTTTAAAGAGCAGAGAGGTGATATAACAGGGATGTGATTATACATCCAAGTCGACAGCCACAGTGGCAGGTACATCTTAATGTACCAAAGATAAACTTCATTTTAATGGAAATGTCCTGAGCAACGGTGAATGGCAATTAGAAACGAAGGCAATTCTTTCCAAATAAAAGGTCTCTTAAAAATGTAATAATGGAAACCGGTGAATCTTTAATAAGACATAGCAGCCTAAAGTGGATGTGAAGATAAATTCCTAATATCTGCTTAAAGTAAACAGCAATTTGTGAATACTCATTCACTTACACATGGTTCCTTGTTAGAGGAACTCAACAGGATGTAGCTAGAAAGTAAAATATTCACTGTGGACGTCTCTGGGAGGGGAAAAAAAATGACTTATTTTTAATTACGGGTTTTTAAATTTTATATATATATTTTTACATCATTCCTCATTTTGTACATTTTTCATCTCAGCTGCAGTTCCCATGGACTTCCCACCACCACTTCACTCATGTGTCATCACCACAGTTCCATATGCTCTTCCCACCGCAGTTTTGATCTTGTTCCCCTCTCCTTTAAAGAGTTTGATGCTTCTGATCCTACTCAGTACTCTGGGTGTTAGTACACATTTTAAACCAATGAAATTTATTCTTAGGACTGTTTAGGTATCATATTTTTCATAAAGCTGAGGGAAGGGGGACACACTAATACACCATGAGATGCAGTCATGGTAATGAAGATGATTAACATTCTAGAAATTTCTTGAAGAAAATTGTGCTCAGTCATACAGTATTATACTCTTAAAATGTAAAGAGCAGGCCTGATGTTAAGTGTTCTTATATCAATAAAAAAATTGAAACTTAAAATGTACAGATAACATAAATGATTTCCAGGATAGGTGAGCTCTCCCAACTAAGAGAGTTCAGAGTTCTCCCATCCAGAACTTCCTTAGGGCCCACCAATCAACACTATACCACCACCACTCAAAGCGCAATTTCCAACATGGCATGAGTGAGAAGAGTGAAAAGAACAAAGCACTAAAGCATTCACCCTATTGTCAAAATGAATTAAATGGAAAAATGTAATTAGTTCAAGTATTATCCAACTTATTTTTAAGTCATGCTTGAATATGCAACAGTAAACCTGGAAAGCATAATCAGGGTCTGACTTCTTGGTAACACTTCTAGCTCAACAAATTTGAATATCATCAAGGCTTCTACACTTAGTCCTATAGATGCTTTAATATGCTAATCATTGTTCCCTGGAATAACTCCCTGGGATGCATGCTTATTTTGAAAATAATCTCACATCTCAAATATTTCAAAATGAGAAAGATTAGAGCTTATGTGATTGGTCTCGTTATCCAAACAGACTGAGCAGATTAAGTGCAGGCCTGAAGTCCCAGGCAGTATCATTTTAAGCTTCAAGTTGAAATCCTAATGGAAGAGTAATTCCAAAGAGGATGACTCCAGAACCACCTATCGGGGCTGCTAAATAGTAGAAAGAAGACAGTGACTGTGAGACACGAAGGCTAGAATAATTCCACATGCTTTCCAAGAAGAGACTTAAATAAAACAGCTGTCATAGCCTGAAGAAAGCAACTGCAAGTGTGAACAATACAGCAATCAGAAATGGAGGTTTCACCTTGAACAAAGACCACAGGAGACTTTTTAACTGCTTATTGCACACTGCCACTGAGGTACTTACTATCTGGAAATGGTCTAGTGACTCTGAATTACCCAGGTCTTTGTTAATTTGTGAATCTTCTGCAGAAAAGGTGTCTAAATGTCAGTTTGTTATATGAGACAGATGTAACTATATGTCTCCTTGTGCTGAACATCACAAAAATTCAGAATTTTATGAAATCATGGTCACCTGGCTAAGTTTCTGCTTATTCAAATATGGTCATGATAGAGTCAGCCACTGCTGTATAAAGAGCCTCATCACTTGCTAAGTACTTTTTACTCTTCTGAATGGATCAATAATTACTGACATTCAATAATTTCCTTTGTCTTAACAAATACATGGTAAAAATAAGAAAAGATCTACTTCTCCTCAACTTTATTTTAATCACAGATGGAGGGAAATGACTGTTTTATATAAATTCTTGTTGAATGTACTCAATTCAAGCATGAACCAATTCTTGCAATAATTTATCAACATCTTTCTCAATGTGAAGAGTACACATTTCCATCCTGTTAAAAGGCTTTCAAATTACTTTACTTTAAGTGTTTCTAGTCCAATTTATTAGTGCTTCACAGTTTTTGGTTCCTTCACATCATTTAAGTACATCTACATAAAAACTAATTTCTTTTCACAGGCAAATTAAGTTTTAGACATACTATAACATTCAATCACCCAGGCATTTTGCCCATGCTAGATAATGGGTAATTTCAAATTCAGATATTGAGTCATTGTGTGTGTGTGTGTGTGTGATGGGCCAAGGGAGATCACTTACTCTCTAGTGCTACTGACATATTGACATACTCTGTAAGAGACTTACTTATACTAACCAACTCCTCTTATTTCATACTGCTTAATACCTATCTGAATCAGATAGTCTTTAATATCTTACTAAGTAATATTTTACCTTCTGGATATCAATTTAGGCATATTATCTAATTATGATTGAATACATGGTTTAATAGAGCAGAAAATTTAAGATGTATAGGTTCATTAGCCTAAGTTATAGATGATCAGTATACATGAAATTAATTACTTTGGATTCAAAACTGGTGAGATATTTTACTGAATTTTCTCTCTTCTAATGTGTTTAGATTCTATAGGTAAGAAGATCAATCATAAGCATGTTACATGGAAGTCTTACACTGCTTTCTTGGTTAATGAGAGACAGAATTTTAAGTTTTAATAGTAACAAATAAAGCATATTTTAATAAGATAAGTATTTCATTTGACAGTTATCTTTAAAGTGGCTTAAAATGCCATTGGTGAGCTAGGCCATAAAAAATAAATAGCCCTAAATCTTCAAGAAATACAAATACAACCAAGAAATTTCTTCATGAAAATACTCCACTTGTATATGCATGGGCAGAGGGAAGGAGACAATAGAACAGTTAGTTGAAATTGTGTTCCACTTATCATCTTTTACCAAGGTCTTCATTTGAGTATTTTCTTACATATTATGGTGATATTTTAAACTTCATCCTTACTTTCTCTTGGAGGGTACACAGCCCAGGTGACTTAAATGTCACCAACAATCAAAGGGAAATGTTTTTTCCCTTGAGGAAACACTATTTGGTTGTGTCTCCTAAGAAGCACTTAGGGAGTTAGAATTTTCCACTGTGGTCTGTACTTGCCATTAGCCCTGTAACTGCTTCTCAAACTCCATGCTTTCCTGCACAAAACTTGGGTCTCCCTAATGTTCCACTGCTAATGTCGTGAGACAAAGCTAAATTGCCATAATAATAACTGCTAACTCACAAGAACAATTCTGCACACCCAAATCTCAACGAGCTTCTGCAAGACACCCCTTCTCTCCCTCCAAAAGACTACAAACACCCCCAAATTAGATATTCCTTTTGAGACTTCCCAGGTCCTGCCTTATTGAATAATGATGATCTGATTTTCTACAGTATCAGAGCTATAGGAGAGCATTCAAGCAGAACAGGTACAGAATACATTCATATTTTACTTTAAATATACACTTTTGGGAGAGGGTCTACCTTCTAATTCAGATGCTTTCCTCAAGCTGTTAACATTAAAAATAATACATTTTGGCATAGCAATCAAATGTTTCTTTCTATTATAACATATCTGAATTTTTAAACTAAAATACACTAAACTGACCTCTTCAGGCTCAATCAGTTTAAATTCCATGCCTCGCCCAGTCCAGGCAATAAAATGAGAATTTGAAGGGTCATCCAGAAGAGCTACCAAAAACTGCCAGAGCTGCAGAGATCCCCGCCGCTGGTATGTGGGTCCTTCTCGATACATTCCTGGCTCTTGTTTGATGTCACCTAAATTAAAGTTTTTGAAAGCTTCTATCATTAACAACATTATGACATTGACACAGCATTTACTAACCATAGTCACAAAATGTAAAACCCACTTCATGGGTTATTATGAAATATATTACCACTAAATAGAGATTTAAAAGAGTTATAACAGTTGAATATAAACCAGGAATCTGTACAAACTTCCAAATAACTATATATATGGGTCAATATAAATGCACACAGGTACAGAATAAATTCATGGATATCATCTTTTCTGTTTCAGTGACTTCTTTAAAACCATAGTATTTACTTACAGTTTGTTGTTTTTGTTATAAATACCATTATTCATTGCTCTAAGCAACACACAAGAAGCCATAAGCAATTTTAAGAAATTGGCAGAAATTTTACTTATACAAATTAAATTCTTCAAAATACAAATGTAAATACCTTTGCATATGACAAACTTGAACCTTTTAAGGGAAATATTTCAAAGTACATTTTAAAATATCTTAAACTCTTAAGTTAATTAATATGCAGCTTATATGAATTATAAAATCCTGCAGTCAATTCAAGGCATCCTGGATTAAAATTGTCCCATCGTTCATACTAGTACTAGCACTTTTTCAAATATCAGCAAATTAAAATTGTCTCTCATTTTTCTTAATTTTTTGTTTATAATCCATTCATGTGAATTAAGCTTGCAATTCTTTTTCCAAAAACCCACTTAAAAAAATTTATGCTAGAGTTACCTGTCAATCTCTATTTTTAAACAAGAATTGTTACTACTATATTTATTTGGTGTACATTTATAGCATATACTCTGTTAAATAGGTTCTATAAATAAAGTTGTTAGTGCTTCAATGTTTGTGTTATAAATCTGGTCAATTACCACTGGGTTTTATGGAGGAAAAAAATAAAGAACTGAAAACAAAGGAAAAACCCTCCTTTGCATGAAGGCTGACTACTTCTATCTCCAGCCATTTCAAAAAATATGTAGAAGTGTTCCATTGGGGATGGACATCTGGGGATCTAAAAGTGTATCATTGTCAATGCACAACATTCCTCTCCTAAACAATGCAGATGGAATATATTCAATTTGATCTGTTCTCACAAAGTGTGAATCACAAAAAGAGACCAAATCACAACTTTCTAAAACTCTCCTTTGATCAGTAGACAAAAATATGTCTCTAAAGGAATTACACAAAGAAAACTTAAAAAAACCTAAACCAAAATATAAATTTAGTTAAACACTGCTAAAAATCATTATGTTGTTTTGAGCTAAGCTAGATAATACAGGAGTGTCTCTTACTGATTTCAATGACAGTTTTATTTATTGCAGCTTCTCCTGAGATTTACAAAATTGTTTAGGGAGGTAACTGAAAAATTATGCAGAGAGTGAAACAGCATCAAATTTATAATCTCTGGATGGTTCCTCCCTTTAAATGTGACATCATCCTGACCTTGTACAATAAAAAGAGCCCTGATTTTTTCTTGTTCACTATTCTTTACAAAATGTAACACTAATATTATCTTCTCAAAATGTTTTCTTAGTCTAAAATTTAGAAGTTTTTAAAAAATCAAAGGGAATTAAGTCATAAGGACAGCTCACAGCCTTAACACATTAGCGTAAATTTGGTCTGTTAGATTGTATCATAATCCTGGGTTCATTCTTTTTTTTTTTTTATTACAAAGTTAATTTTTACATCATTTTGCACATTTTTTTTTCCATCTCGATTGTAATCCCCGCGGGTTTCCCATGTGGGTTCATTCTTAAACAGTTTTTCTTAATTATGAACCCATACAAATTATCAGAAATTCTTAAAATTTTAAGTTCAGTATGAAGGAAGGAAACTGATGAAGGTCAGTCTAAGAAGTTGGACTTTATGCTTTGTCTCAAGAGAAAAAGCTGTATATTAGAAGTGTGATGCTCCACTAATGCTGCTAAACAGAACAGTTCACACATCTGAAGTCCAGAGCCTAATGCGAGCATCAAAAGGACAAAAAAAAGAAAAAAAGAAAAAAAAAAAAAAAAACACCCTATCAGAGTTTAACCCCGTGACCTCAAATACATTTAGAGAAAAAGCTGTATATTAGAAGTGTGATGCTCCACTAATGCTGCTAAACAGAACAGTTCACACATCTGAAGTCCAGAGCCTAATGCGAGCATC